TTAAACTGTCATTTTTGCTTCTGTATATTCTGAAGGATTCTGGGTTTAGTGTTTGAGCATTTCGTTCTACACATCTTTAATAAATAATGGACAAATAATGCCAAGAACTCTTTAATTCCCGGTGCAAAAAATTTAGGAACTAGGTGTTTTAAAATTTTTGTGGTACCTGAAACACTTAATAAGCATCAGTTGGTCTGTTTTTCTCAGCAACAGCGATCAGTTCCTCTGGCTTGCGATTGCCTTCGTATATAGTTTTTTATTTATATTTGTATTCTAGTTGGATGAAACTTCTGATTATGCTCGTTCGATTTGAGGATGATATAATGTATGGCTGAAAGGGAAGCCTATTCGATGTCACCTTGAAATGGTTGTAAGTGATTTTCTAACCCATTATTTCATATCGTAATGACAATTAACTGCCAATTCATGTGTGATTTCTTGGCTTCTTGGAGGTTTACGGATTGGCGAGAGTATATTTTCGATAGTACGTCAAAGTCTTTGATGAGATCGACATCTTCGTTTCTGCAGTCCTGTGTATCATTCAGTTCCGGTCAGTTTTGTTGGTGTGTGCACCTCTTGACCGAACTTACCCATAATAATTCGCAGCTGAGATGACAAGACCAACGGTTACGATGCATACAGCGCTGCTTTCTGCATATAGCTGTCACCCATCATCCAATCGTGATACCGATCCGTGCTTTCGTTCTCATCCCCACATTAGTGACTGGTAGTCAGGAGTGATGTCAAGGTATGTTGTATGTGCATCATATATCAGATGATACTAACTGGGTGACCAATAAAACAACTTCTTTCCTTTCTGTTTATTATGATGTAATCCTGCCACGTGTTTTGAACGGATTTGGTCGTAATTACCATTACATCAAACAATGTTCCATAGTGGCAATTCAGAATTTCTTTATTCTGTTATATTTTTCTGATTTACACTAGACGCAGACTTGTCAGCGTAGGTGAGTTTTGTGGACATTGTGCCAGAAATGTAGCTTATGAACAGCTTCAGATGAAGTTTCAATGTCGTTTATCCTGTAAACCTTGAAATTTAAATGTTTGATTTATAATTTGAGTAAATGTTTATAATCATTCTATTTGATTGATGTCTTGTTAACAGATGATATCTAGGTTATTTGTGTTTTTAGAATGCTGCAGCTCTGCTCCAGTCATGTTGATTCACTCTGCAACGAAGGAACCCGAATAACGAAGACGGTTGAGCGTTTGTTGAAAAGGCTTTTTGAATTTCGGGAAGTTAGACAATGCCACGATAACATAATTAATCGTATCAGCTGCACTGTCAGTCTTCTGGTAAGGTTTTGCTTAAATTAATTGCTCAGCTTATTTTTTAATTATGATTTTTTATAATTAAAGCTATTTTCCCATCTGAAATTCGTCATTGTTCAGTATTTAGTTGTTATTGCAAATTCCATTAATAACTGCATTTTATTTTCTTCAGTTTTTGTGAATTATTCGCTTGTAATCGTATTAAATGTAAGTATTTTCTAAGGATCATATCGATACCGTGCCGTATATGATGTGAAGGTGATAGGTCTTATGATTTCATGGTTGGCTGTACGCAGAATGCTGCTATACTGTGGAATTAACCTATGTGTATTTCATTTCTGACTTTATCTAAACGTTTTATTCTGCATGCCAATCTTCATCTTGATTCTGAATTTGATTTCGCAATTTCTTTATCATTTCTTTCTTTGTGTCTGAAGAAGTTGATTAGTGTTTTAAGAATGTGTAAGCTGTATTGTATATTTTATTGTGTAAGATCAGTGGCTAGAGGAGAGTATGTACGTGATCAGATAGGTATATTGCCCAAACAGCGATTAATACAGAGCTTATAGAGAAATTATTAAGTTTGGCCTATTAGTGTCAGGAAATCTACATACGGTTTAATCAGAAAGCTGGAATCTCGCGTAGCCGAATCATGTTAACGCCTTTTCAGCTCCATCATTCACAAAGTACTTCCTACTTGGGATGAATAGCCGATAGCGCGGGCTTATCTCTTCAACACAAGAGTATATCCGGCCACTATAAAGCATTAAAACATAGTCCCTGACGAAAGAGGTCGAACATTAGCATTTTGTTACTAAAGGGTAATAAGAAGAAGAATATTAATAATTTTGTTCCGTATTCGCATCCACTACGTGTAATTAAACTTTAAACGGGATGAAAAACGTCATCTGCAAAGCACAGAGTAAAATGCGATGGGCTGGCAAGATAGTTCCGCACCCTGACAATGGTTGGCAGGAGCTATCATATAGTAGTTCACACATGATCGCTCGATCGCTTGTCAGTAGATGGGTTACTTGACTTACAGGGACCACAGCTGAGGCAGTGTGGTATCTGGCACAACACATGCCAATGCTGATTCCTGATCGCATTTATATAATGAAAATACTCCAGTCACTGATCTACATATTAACGAATATAAGAAAGCAGTCAAAGATCATCATACGAAAAACTTTGATTTCTTGGCAGTAGGGATACTGGCACAGTATTGAGAGGTAGACTTCGAATTCTGGAAATGCTGGATCCTAAAATGCTAATTGCCATTCATTCTCATAAACAGGGACTTTACCCCAGGTTGCTTCGTTGCGACCAGCCGAAGAATGAGTTATATGTCGTTCGTTTAATTACGAATAAATGGGGCAACATGATACCTTGACGAAAGGTAAGGTCATGCTCTAAAGCCAAGCGCTTCTTTTATCTTCAGTTCGCCTTCACCTGTTTGATTGTTAGCTATCAAGTGTGATTATCAGTATAAGGTTAAGCCCAAAACGGCTATGTACTATGTAATGAATATTCCAAGAACCGCTTTATCGATAAGCAAAGAGATCAAATTTCTGACCAAAAAGCACGGCACACCTCTGTGAACAAAACCAGGGTTTCCAGCTGCAGCGTCAACTGATTTGACATTTTCAGTCGATGAATGCTAATTAAATTTTTTTATGTCAGTGCCC